TTTGAGACAGGGTCTCGCTCTGTTGCCTAGGCCTGGAGTGCAGTGGCGCGATCACAGCTCACTGCAGTCTCAAACTCCTACGCTCAAGCAATCATCCTGCCTCAGCCTCCTGAGTAGCTTACACTACAGGCATGCCTCACCATGCCTGGCTGCTTTTTGTAGAGATGGAGTCTCAATATGTTGCCCAGGATAGTTTCAAACTCCTGGCCTCAAGTGATTCTCCTGCCTTGGCCTATGAGCCCCATGCCCGCCATAATTATGCCTTTTTCCAAATTGTTACTTCTTTGTGCCTTTATTGTATCCAGTAAATACTTCTGACACAGCACTAGTATCACTTGATTGTACTTACTTTTTTACATAGTTGTGGTTTTGCCAGGTAGACTAAAAACCCTTCCAGAAGTTTATTTTCTATGATACCTAACACATTGTGGGTGTTTAATAAATATTTATTGACTAGATGAATGTATACTTAGGTATCTCTTTGTTTTTCAGATTTAGCATGTAGACTGCTGGGGCAATCAATGGATGAAAGTGGATTACCACAGCTGACCAGTTATGATTGTGAAGTTAATGCTCCTATACAAGGCAGCAGAAACCTACTGCAGGGTGAAGAATTACTCAGAGCTTTGGATCAAGTTAACTGAGCTTTTTCATAATTTCATTCCTTTTTTTGGACACTGGTGGCTCATTACCTAAAGCAGTCTATTTATATTTTCTACATCTAATTTTAGAAGCCTGGCTACAATACTGCACAAACTTGGTTAGTTCAATTTTGATTCCCTTTCTACTTAATTTACATTAATGCTCTTTTTTAGTATGTTCTTTAATGCTGGATCACAGACAGCTCATTTTCTCAGTTTTTTGGTATTTAAACCATTGCATTGCAGTAGCATCATTTTTAAAAATGCACCTTTTTATTTATTTATTTTTGGCTAGGGAGTTTATCCCTTTTTCGAATTATTTTTAATAAGATGCCAATATAATTTTTGTAAGAAGGCAGTAACCTTTCATCATGATCATAGGCAGTGAAAAAATTTTTACATCTTTTTTTTCACATTTTACATAAACAATAATGCTTTGCCAGCAGTAAGTGGTAGCCACAATTGCACAATATATTTTCTTAAAAAATACCAGCAGTTACTCATGGAATATATTCTGTGTTTATAAAACTAGTTTTTAAGAAGAAATTTTTTTGGGCCTATGAAATTGTTAAACCTGGAACATGACATTGTTAATCATGTAATAATGATTCTTAAATGCTGTATGGTTTATTATTTAAATGGGTAAAGCCATTTACATGATATAGAAAGATATGCATATATCTAGAAGGTATATGGCATTTATTTGGGTAAAATTCTCAATTCAGAGAAATCATCTGATGTTTCTATAGTCACTTTGCCAGCTCAAAAGAAAATACCCTATGTAGTTGTGGAAGTTTATGCTAATATTGTGTAACTGATATTAAACCTAAATGTTCTGCCTACCCTGTTGGTATAAAGATATTTTGAGCAGACTGTAAACAAGAAAAAAAATCATGCATTCTTAGCAAAATTGCCTAGTATGTTAATTTGCTCAAAATACAATGTTTGATTTTATGCACTTTGTCGCTATTAACATCCTTCTTTTTTCATGTAGATTTCAATAATTGAGTAATTTTAGAAGCATTATTTTAGGAATATATAGTTGTCACCGTAAATATCTTGTTTTTTCTATGTGCATTGTACAAATTTTTCATTCCTTTTGCTCTTTGTGGTTGGATCTAACACTAACTGTATTGTTTTGTTACATCAAATAAACATCTTCTGTGGACCAGGCCCCTTTGATCAGCTTTCATGTTCCAGTATTAAGAATATTTGCTTCAAGACCTCCAACTCATAAAATTGTTTACCAACAATTTAAGTACTTTATGAAAATTACATGGTACTGGTTATTTCTACATTTATCTTATTGCTATCACCTTAATGTATGTTGAGTCCCAAACTGTCATGTTAAATAATAACAACCATAATATCCCATTGTAAAGAGTATGTTGTTAGAAAAGAAACATCATTTTTAAATTTCTGAGTCTATTAAAATGTTAAAACACAAAATGTTAGTATTTTTAGTATGTGAATGGGATGAGCGAAGTCTCAACATTATAGTCACATAATGTTACAAAGGCTAGAGTTTCTCTGAAGATTTCTAATCTATTCCCATTAACAGATGAATAAATTTAGACCTCAAATGAAGAAAAATTTGCCCAAGCTTTAAAAGTAATAGATGGCAGACCAAAAATGTAAGCTTAAGTTTCCTAACTCAAAAGTCAAACTTGGAACAAGTTTGGTTTGTTCTTGTTTTAATGATACTGCATTTAAAAACAAAGTATCTTTATTCTTTTTCTCCTGTATTTTTCTTTTATGAAATAGATGTATTTCTTTTACACTCATAATCTCATTTAAAAAATCAGACAGTATAGAAAGATATTTTTGAAAACTGAAAAATCACTATGAATCCGTGCACCTACAGGTACAGAAAATTATTTTTATGAACAAATTGCGTAGGAAGTGCCAAAGCCTTAGGTCTTGTACCCTGAGGTATATATACTGAACAAAAGGAACTGAGCAGCAGATCTCTTAGGTGGCTGTTTTTATCTTAAAATGGAAGACAGTGATTAAAATTAAAATTACATGAAAATTTTGGAACAAAAGTTCACAATACTTGGGGGGGACAGGTACACTTAACCACAAATACAGTGACCCAAAGTGCTTCAACATTTAGTTACAGATAGTATTATACTAGAAGTGGTATTTTAGAATAAAGTAGTTGCTTAATATTCACAGGTCACAAAACAAAAAATTATGCTTATATAGCTAATAGCTTCAGTTGGAAACTATTTGTAAATAAGCAAATTATGTAATGACCGAGAGTTCAGAAAAATGACTTGTGAAAGCACTGATTGCGAAGGGAAAGCCGCCATTAAAGGACAGTACAGCTGGAAGGAAGCAAGTACTAACCTACTGCTCAGTCACTCAGGAAACAAGCTACTTGGAATGCTTTAAGCTATGGAATAGTAAAAGTAGCCCTTCCCAATTTTATGCACCATCACAAATTTCTTCATAATGGTTTGTCCAAGGTTTATAACCCAACCCTAGCAACTATACTTCTATAATAGTTCTCTCCGTAATATTCCTCCCCCCTCCTTATGTTATGAAATAGCTGTATTTTTTTTATACTCCTAACCCAGGAAATGGGAATGTATGTTCTGAGTAGAAAAGAGATGTAGCTGTTACAGGAGAAAGTAAACAAAGCCATTTCAATTTGTTTAATGCAGTATCATTAAAAACCAAATTTGTTCAGTTTGACTTTAGAATCAGGAGACTTAGCTTACATTTTTGGCCTGCCATCTATTACTTTTAGAGCTTGGGTGAATTATTCTTCATTTGGGTTCTAAATGCTATATGTAGTTCATTCATAGCAGTACCACATAGTGAGGAGTATATCTATACAGTATATAGCCTTGGAGAAGTGCTCTAAGTTTCAGAGCATTTGAGGTGGCCGTTAGTGACTCCAAAGCCCATGGTGCTAACCACCCTGCAATGCTAGCCAATCCAGTGGAACATAACCTTTTCTCCATTGTTAACTGAGGGTTCCATGTCAGTTCAAAGTAATGAGATCACATAACACATTGAGGGAATGTCCTAAGAGGAGTGGCAAGGCATAAACAAATAATGAATAAAAGTGTCCTCAGCGCTATTTAATGGGTTCTGAATTTGAACTAGAGATTGAGATCTCTAGTTACGGAGACATTAACTCACATTAATGAGGTAGTGAATGGGAAAGCACAAACTATAAAAGACTGTATCAATGTATGGTATGGTTTTCCCAGAGCTGTTTTGACTTAATGGCATTACAGATATTAAGTTTTTATAACCTCACGATTACCATTCCAAATCTTGATTTCCTTCTAGAAACCTCTACACAGAAAAGATGAACTTAAAAATACTCGCTTTGTGGAAACTTAATCTAAAAGCTCAAAATTTTCAAATAGCAATACCTAAAACAAGTTGCAGAGTAAAGAATCCTTTTTTCAACATTAAGATTTGGTTAAACCTTTGCAAACGTGTTGCTAGCTGGAACCAACAAAAAATGTAAAACCTTTTTTTTTTAAGCCTTCTTTGCTCGTATTTCGTTCCTTTAAATAGAGGTGAGCCTGCCGTCTCATATCATTTTACAGAGAATTAGTGAAATCTGTGAAATTCGATACAAAATAGTCTCCCTGTAGGATAAAAGTTACACTTTACCATAAACCTTCCTATGAACGCCTTCTGGAGCTTTGATGCGTTCACGCCTTACATAGGGTTGGACATAATTTTTATTCTTACCTGTAATGGATAGTTTTTCCAAGACGCTGCCCAGACACCCGATCTCCGTGTACTATTGAATTTTCTGTATTCCCTTGTCTTGGCTCCATTCTGGGACGGAGAGGAAAGACAGGTGCCTGAGAACAGCAGCGGTCAGAGCCCCGCGGGGAAAATACCAAGCATGCAGAAGTGACCTGGCACCCCTTACGTTCCTGGGGTAGCTGGCGCTACATGATGAGGATGCGAAACCCAAGCCAACCCGAGAAACTTCTCGAGCCCCGCCCGGCGCACGGCAGGCCACGCCCCGGTACGTGCTGGGGCGCAGCACCGCAGCCACTGCCCCGGGCTCTCGGGCCGCCGGGATCCCGCCGCACGAAGTGGCTGCGTGTGTGCAGTGGGGTGGCTGCTGTCAGCTCCGCGTACGTGTGCGAGCGCATGCGGGAGGCACTGGCCTTTCCGGGCCTGCGAACGGGCGGGGCCCGGCGCGAGGTGTCAACCCTGGGCTTTGTCTTCTGGGGCTTTGTCTTCTGGGACTTGTCAAAGTGGGAAGCATAGTGCTTCCCAGACTGTTTTTTAGATGGGCGTGGGCGAATGGGACTCGGTATGTTGCTGTAGAGCTGTCTCCTTTGCGGTGTGAAGCTTTTTCTTTGTAGAATAGGAAAATTTGAATTCTAACAGATTGGACCGTCGTTAGCTATATAATACTTTTTTTTTAAAATTAGACATCTACTAATCTAACAAAAAATACAGGACTTCTATGTCTATTTAAACATATTCCTCTTAAGGCGCTCAAAGACTTAGCTTATTTTAAATAAAGCACTTTGAGATATGCCTAGTTAAGGATCTCGAAACTTAAGCTACCCCATGTGATGCTGTTTTTATTTGGGGGGGTTTGTTGGGAGGTGTTGGCCTTTTTACTTTTTTCATTATATTGTTTGCCAACTATTGAGGATCCTTTGGGAGAAGATAATCTTGTTGGACAGAAGGGAGGTGAGTGTTGGAATACGGAAAATGCTTGGAGCCTTAATCTCTGTAATAATTGGTATGTTAAGATTGCATAATGTAAAGTACAAAGCCAGGTATTGTTTAGAATAAATAACTTCCCCTCTGCATATCCACAGCTCACTGCATTTTACATTTTATTTTAATTTGTTTCCTTCAGGAAAATTCATTGTGGTTTCTTCAAATAGAATTTTATAGAAAGCAAAGGTACACTTTTACAAAGCAGTTGAGGTGTTTTAGATACTTTTTACTAGTAAAAACTGATCTGCAGCCTCAGTCATCATACGTGTGTGTGTTTGTGTTTAATTAGGGAGGTGCCCTTTAATGAGAGTGCCATAATTCTTTTGCTCTTACGGATGCATAATCATTATAGATGGACGATTCTCCATAGAGGAGAGCAGGCTGGTGAGGCTGTAATATTAATCGCAGAGGATATACCTTTTACAAAGTTGAGAAATGCCGTGTATAGCCAGATAAGTAGACTAGGATTCTGTGAAGCCAAATCTAATTTTAAAGATCTTTGAAATATTAACATTAACAAACTATTTTATGTAGAGATCCTTTCTAAATATGACTGGATAATATTATTTGCTCTTTGAAATGGATTTTTAAAAATGGTTCTACATACAAAATCTTTCATAAGGGTACAGAACAGTCTGGAAGGAGTCATTATAAACTGCTGCCTGACTCCCTAATCTGCTGGTAGAATATTAGAGCAAAAACCTAAAGAAAATGAGCTACAAATACAGAAAATTAGAAAGGAGCCGGTACAGTCTGGGAGGTACTTTGCTTCAGCCTTTGCCTCTTATAGTTTTTCCAACTGCAAATATTTGTCACTCCTGTGAACTTCCTTATCACTTCCTCTTTATCGAGAAAACCTCTTTCTCTTTTTTTAAACCTTATAATGTTTGCGTGCCTTAATCACTCATACTAAACTCTTAATTTCTTCAGAGCATGGTTCCCATCTGACTCATCTTTGATCAGTCCTAAAACCTTCCACTCTGCATGCGCAAAGACAACTCACACATGATCCAAGATGGGAGAGGATTTCAGGTGTGACAGAGACCAGAGAAGAATTATGATCAGAGGAACCGAATGGAGAACAGAACCATTTTCTAGCTCTTCCAGGGAGATTCTTTCAATCAATGAATAGTGTTGAGTAAGTACAAGATATTATTCTAAGACCTCTAGGTAATATAAATATTCTAGTATATTATGCCTGCTATCAAGAGAGCAGTTAATTCCCATTCCGTGAGGTACTCACAAATTAAACTGTAGTTGTGCAAATACAGTTGAAGTCTAAATAGAATTTTTATTGGCCCTTTGAGATGTTTTAAGCCACCATTACTTTTCCTTTTCAGGTTTGTCTCCAACTTGATAATCTGTCCCCAGCCCAGGGCACCCCAAATTTGGCATGTCAAAAAATAACTCCTCATTTGTCCTCCAAATGGCTTCTCCTCTTGCATTTCCTG